GTCACTTAACCTCTGTTTTGCCTCAGTTCCCTCTACTGTAAAATGAAGTTGATAATAGCACCTGTTCCTAGGGTCGCTATGAGGATCCATTCAATTCGATAAACATTTATTATGCATCTACTATGTGCCAGGCACTGTGCTAAGTGCCAATGATACAAAGAGGAAAAAGAAAGACAGTCCTTGCCTTTAAATAAGTTTCTAATCAAAGGATGAAGACATGTCTATGTTGAAAAGGGAGAAAGGTGTGATGTTCTATGGGGAACCAAGTGAGATAGTATTTGTAAAGCACTTTACCATAGCATCTGACACATAGTGGGTGCTATATAAATGCTCGGTATTATTGTTATTCGAACTGGAGCTGTGATTTGTTTGCTATTAGGAATTCTGGGGAATGAACCCCTTTTACCAATACAGGTTGGAACTCATTCTGCAATTCATAGTTTTTAAAATGTTAGTCTTAAAAAGTCACCTAGGTAAAAAATAAATGACTTGTCCAGTCTCCCACAGTCAGGGTCTGTAAAGGGTGGGACTTTAACCAAGATTTTACCAACTTCAGGCTAGCTGGCTACTCACTACATCATACTGTCTCTGCATTTCAGTAAGAAGAAAGATTTGTAGGCCCCAATCCTGAAGGTATCATTCTTCAGCACTGACATTTCGACTGGGGGCTTCATGATGGACAGTACTCTTCCTCATCTTCTTCTTCCTCCTTCCTTCTCATCTTTTTCTCATCATTGTTTACCTTTTATACAGTAACTTGATGTGAAAGATAAAATCTGAGTTACTTTCAAAAAGTAACTTTAAAATAAACACTTAATTAGGTTTTATTATGGTTACTAATAAATTAGCAACTCTTCTAGGACTATAATCCTAAGGATCTGAATCTTGGGGCAAAACAAAATGAGAGGGAAAAGGAAGGCAAGTAAGAAGAAAAAAGAGGTAAAGATAGAAGGGATAAAGAAAGAATTTTCAGTCTCAAAAAAAATAAAAGGCAATGGAGAGGATTCCCCCTGGGCTCCTAAAAGCTGTTCTAACACTTATTACAGTAAAAGGGAGTGGTGAGCTGGCTGAAAAAAAAAAAAGTTATTCCTCTATTGTGTGTCAGGGGACTGTCAACAGAGCCCTTGAGTCTGCAGAAAGCAGGAAGAAATTCTGAAATAGGAGGCTTAAGGCAGCCGAAGGCTCCTGAAGCCTGGGCTGGGCGTAACTAGTTGTCTGTGTAACAGTTGTTCCAGGTTTCTTCTTTTTTTAAGCAAGCTTTTGGGACTTTAGTAAAGACAGTAGCCAGGATAGCTGGACAGCTGCAGAGATTTAAAGGTCTTGAACTCTGGTTTTCCATTTTCTCCAACAAAAGAAGCTTTTGTTGTTGAGGGGTTCAAATTACAAGGAATATTGAAAAATGGTTTCATTATAGGCCATATCATTTTAAAAGATTAAAGACAATAACCAGGACTAGGTAACTCTGAATTTAATTTAATTATAAATGTTAGGTTCTACTATGAGATACAAGTACAACTCATTGAAATATCTAACAGGCACTTAAAGAAAACCTGCCTATCAAATCACTACAATTTAATCAAGGACCCAAACTCCCAATTAAAGTCAAGTAAAAGGACAAATTCAAGGCATATCTAAACCAGAAATAATGCCCCTGACCATTCAAGCAGGAAAAGGATTTGCACCTGTGATCATCCAAAAACTCTCTGGTTTTTTGGGGCCAAGCTCCTTTTGGACCTTTATTCTAAAATGTGCCTCTCCATTTCCCCTTCAGTGGAAACTTCTGTGCATCGGGATTCTAAAGCGATGGCTTCCCCTGGCCCGTCCTTTGTGCCTCTCTGCTTGGAACATCAGAGATGTGGAACCAATCAGATGTCTCAGAGCAAGGACTTGCCCACTCTTTACAAAACCCAAGACTCTTGACCTTATCATTCAGCTGACCTGGTACGAAGATATTGAAGAGTTCCCCTAGTGTGGAGAAGGGATCTCAGGTAGTTCCTACATCAACTAGAAGAATCAAAGGAGGTGTGATGAAGCTGTATGGGCCTTTGCTGGGGGCAGCTTCTCCCCCTTCTAGGCACTGACCTCCCTCTTCTTCTTACCAGAGCCTCAAGACCATGATGCCTGAGGTCCTACAACACCTGAATTGTTTCTTTATTTATTGCCTACATTACAGACCTTGGGTGAGCTATTTACAATAAAAAGCTATTATGCTGTAGTCTGCCCATTTCTTTTGTTAAGCCTCCTGTAGAGTGCTACAGCAGACTGGGTCAGCACCTAACATAATTTCAAAGCAATCCCAGACATTTTCAGAAAGACCTGGGAAGAATCACGTGAATCAACACAGAGTCAAGTGAGCAAAAGCAGGAAACAAAAATTGTGCCATAATTAACATTGTGAAAACAGAGAGATGCTGTGCTTGCCCACATTGGACATGTAAAGCAAACTATGAGTTATCTACCTCATGTCACAGCTATTTAAGGTCAACTGATGATTCAATGCTCCCTCCATCTGTACCAGCCCATGGAATATGTTCGTGTCACATCATCTTTCAATGGCTTCCTTAGTTTAATAACTCCCAGCCTGGGAGTGGATCTTTCAAATGACTGATTTGTCCACTCCACACCCAGCACAAATAAACTGCAGCTTGGCAAGAGGGTGGGAGGCAGGCAGGAAAAGAGTAGGGAAGAAAGTGGTTTCTCTGTGAAAGAGGAACACAACTCCAACAAAGGTGATTTTGTGGAGAAGGAAGCTGGAGGTCAATGTGCCCATCTCCTGATGCACAAAGATGTCTCAAATTTCAAGAATTTGATGATGTGGCCAGACAGGGCTCATCCTGTAGTCACAGGGGTCAGCAAACTATGGCCAATGGGCCAAACTGGGCCAACTGCCTCTTTTGTAAGACCTGTGAACTAAGAATAGTTTTTATATTTATAAAAAATATATTATTTTTTTAATGTAAAAAAAAAACATTCTTAGCTTGCAGGTCATACAAAAAGCAGGCTTCCAGGTGGGATTTGGCTCACTGGGCTTAGTTTGAAAACCCCTGGTACAAAGCTGGCATCTCAGAGTCAGGAAGACCTGGGTTTGTGTCCTGACTCGAGATTCAGCTTGTGTGGGCAAGGTACTTAATCTTTTAGTTTCCCCAGGCAGCATTCTGACACTGCAAATTATAGTTCAATTACTTTTCTTCATTGGTAGATGAACTTTCTTCACCTGGGAGTACCCCATACCAATGAAATCACTGGATCTGACCAAAAAAAAAAAACACAACCAGCTGAAGCCCATTAAAATACCATTCACCACCATATTTCAAGTACTGTAGGACAGTGCACTATGAGGCTGGGAACTCCTTTAGGGACAGGAATTGGATTTGTGATTTCATTGGTATGGGGAACACCTAGATGAGTAAGCTCCATCCCCAATGACTGTTGGTGCCTCCTCAGCAACCTTCAGGGTTACCTAGATCACTGAGAGAAGTCAACTAACTCACCCATGGGTCAGAGGTGGGATTTGAACCCAACTCTTTCTATTTAGGGTGGCTCTAATGTTGCCTGTTACTGAATTTCCATGATCTTCATATAAATATTCTTGAACAATGAACTCTGGTCCCCAAAGATTATTTCTCTGTTGCCACCTTTGGTCGATGGCAGGTAAAAGAGAATTGTGATGACCCATGCTGGTTTCCCATGAAAAAATACTCAGTAACAAGTGAGTAGGGCAAAGTCAATTTCTTGTTCTCATTCTGTAACCTGAGACCCACTCACATTCTTACTGCATTCAGATGCCTGGTCTGCTTAATTCCCACCCCCAAGTGCTATCTTTTCCCATGCAGAAACTACTGGGGGTCTTAGGATTGATCCTATAAGATGTCTCACATCTGCTAGGTTTTTGTCATCACTGTCTTCAAATGCTTCACTGAAATCAGCATTAAGAGCCAAGAGTCACTCCATTTTGTTGCCTGGACACTGGCTGGGGGAGCTGAGTGTTACCTCAATTCTCATACTCCCTCAATAGAGTTTCTCCTGAGGGGGAAATCCAGAACCTACAAGGACTGATGTCTTATGGCCTAAGACACAACTTCCAATTGCCCAGGGATCTACCTCCAGATGTACCTCCACTCACTTGTGATGGGGGAGGTTCTCTCAAACAATTTCTTTCAGCATCAACTTGATCCCTCAAACCAAACACTCTTTCTCCATCTTCCACACATTCAAATTCTACTCTTGTTTTAAAATTTATTTTATTTTCAATTCATGGAACAAAACAAGCATTTCCATAATACAGTACAATAAAAGGATGATTTTTTAAAGGTTTGTGTATTTAACACATGGATGATTGCACATGAAACTACAAATCTGTTATGTACAATTTGCTATTCCCTCCAAATACACAACAAAATTACATAAATTTCTTTTTTTTTCTTCCCTCCCTCCCCCCAAGAGATGGCTACCATTAGACACAAATAGGTATATAAATGTAAAATTATTTAATACATACTTTTATTTATCAGTTCTTTCTCTGGATGCAGATAGCATCTTTCTTCATATGTCCTTTACTTTTAATTTGTGTATTTATAATAGTCAAAATTACTTAGTATCTCGAAGTCATACTTAAAACAATACTGCTGTTAACTATATACAATGTTCTCTTGGTACTGCTCACTTTGCTCTTTATCATCTCATGAAAGTGTTTCCATGCCTTTCTAAAATCATTGAGCTCATCATTTCTTACAGCACAGTAGCATTCCGTCATAACCATACACCATGACTTGGTCTGCCATTTCCCAATTAATGGGGATCCCTGCAATTTCTTGTTCTTTACCATAACAAAGAGAGTATAATGATATCCCAGTCACATACAAAGTTATAATTTCTATTTATGAATATTCCTCTATCTTTATTTTTACCTACTATTTTCTTTCTCAGTCTCTCTTTTTACCCTATCCCTGTTACCTTAACTTCTCCCCTCCCCCTCTCACCCTCCACTTCACCCACCCCTCCACAAATCCTCCACCATTCCGTCTCCCACCTGGCAATCTCAATCCACACACCCCTCCTCTCCCCCTACCCTCCCAAATCCCAACCCACACACCCCTCTAAAAGTCCCTCCCCGACCTTGTCCCCCAGCTTTCTCACTTCTCTACATGTTCAGAAGACCTCTACACTCTTCCAGATGTACAAGTTTCCTCTTCAACCCAGATGAGAGTAAGTTTTCAACATTAGACAGCCCTCCACCCCCACCTGTTTCCTCTATATTAGTTTTTCCTTTCACACTCCATTTTTATAACATAACTGCTCTCTTTTACCTTTTCCTACCCAATTTTGTTTTTCAGAACCATCCCATCATACACAACTCAGCCCCAACCTTTCCTTCAAACTGCCTTAACAAGATGACAGTTTGGCATTCTGGGAAGATGGCGGAATGGGGCAGAAATTCCCAGACTTCCTCCACAAACAGACAGAAAATCACCACAAAACGAACATAGAGCAGCAAAAATAAAGGTGTAAAGCAGTTGCCCTCCTAGGATATCTTGAGAGGACCTCAGAGAAGACTTTATTTAGGGGCTGAGGTTTAGTCTGAGTGAAATGTAGACACTTCCAGGCCCACTCCATTGAATCAACAAACCGTTGACCCTGAGGGAAGCAGACTGGGTCTAGGAAAATTTCACCCCAACTTTCACATCATTTACCACCTCAAGAAATTTCCCCTCAGGCACTTTCAACTCACACACTTTTACTTCATGAACTTTCATCTAAGGAACAGCTGACCCTGAGTGAGGGAAGATTGAAGGACCCCCTGATGTTTTGGGAAGTCAGTTCTAGGGGTGCTGACCAGATGGGATCTCCACTGTAGCTGTGGGTGAGGAAGAGCAAACACACTGCCAGTGAGCACGGTGAACCATTTTTGGGACATCATTTCTGGGGCTTAGGTGAGGAAGAGAGGAATCTGGAAGGAGCCCCAGGATAGAATTCAGAAAACAACAGTCAGGAGGGCCTGAGGCCTAGGACAACATTACCCACATCAAGATTAAAACTTGATAATAATAACAATAATAAAGCTGCTAAAAATAAAATAAGATTAATTTAAAAATAAAAAGGAGTAAGCAAAGGAAAAAGAACCCGACCATTGATAGCTACTTTGATGTAAAAGAAGATCTGGGTGTATATTCAGAGGAAGATAATGAGGTTAAAAAAAAAAAAGCCATTCCTACCCTAAAGAGTAGTGTCAAGTCATCATAAGAAATCTTGGAAGAACTTTAAAAGAAATTCAAAAATCAAACAAGAGAGAATATGGAAAAATTAGGAAAAAAAACAATTCAAGAAATCATACAAAATCATAAGAAAATAAAAAGAAATTAAAAAATCAGTAAGAGGGAAAATTAGAAAAAAAAAGCAATCCAAGAAAATTATTAAAAGAAAGTTAACCAAACAGAAAAAGAGACACAAAATCTTAAGGAAGAAAATAAAAAGGAATTCAAAAATCAAATAAGAAAAATAAACAATGAAAATTAGAAAACGATAAAAGCAATTCAAGAAAACTATGAAAAGAAAGACAACCACCTAAAAAAAAGGATACAAAAGGAATTTAAAAAATCAAATAAAATAAACAAGGCAAAATTGAGGGAGAAAAAGCAATTCAAGAAAATTATTAAAAGAAAGTTAACCAATTAGAAAAAGAGGTACATGACCTTAAGGAAGAAAATAAAAAGGAATTCAAAAATCAAATAAGAGAGAAGGAGGAAAAGTTAGAAAAAAAAAATAAAAGCAACCCAAGAAAACTATCAAAAGAAAGTTAACCAATTAAAAAAGGAGATTCAAAATCTTAAGGAAGAAAATAACTTCTTGAAAACTATAATTGGGCAAGTGGAATCAAATAACATTATAAGACATCAAGATATAATAAAACTAGAAAAAATAGGAGAATCTGAAATGTCTCCTTCGAAAAACAATTTGTCTAGAGAATAGATTGAGGAGAGAGACAATATAAGAATTGTCAGACTACCCGAAAGTTATGATCAAAAAAATAATCTGGATGCAATATTAGAAGAAATCATTAAAGAAAATTGCCCTGAAGTTCTAAAACAGGAGGGTAAGGTAGAAATAGGAAAAAAAATCTAAAGTTCACCACTTCTAAAAGATTCCAGGAGGAAACCTTACAGGAATATCATTGCCAAATTTCAAAATTCCCAGATTAAGGAGAAAATATTGCAAACAACAAGAAAAAAAACAATTTAAAATACTGAGGAAATACAGTCTGAATTTCACAAGACCTAGCAGCTTCTCCTCTAAAAGACTGTATAGGTCTTGGAACTTTATGTTTCAAAGAGCAAAAGAGCTGGGGTTACTTCCAAGAATAACTTGTCCAGCAAAGTTGAATATAATTCTGGATGGGGAAAAAAATGGTCATTTGGTGAATTGAAAGACTTTCAGGTATTTGTAACAAAAAAAAAATAGAACTCAATGGAAAATTTGATATAAAAGATCGGGAAGAAATATAAGGAAAGCATTAATGGTTAAATATAAAGTATTCGTTAAGGTTAAACTCTTTACTTACATATATGAAAATGTTATCAGTATTATCAAACCCCACTCTCAGCATGCCACCCAAATATTTCTAACATACCTACTCCACTGATTGGGGTGTATGGGGTTGAAAACCTCCTTGAAAAGAATGATTGACACCTTTGGTATGGGGGCTTGCCAAGCCCTTTTTCAGGGGTGCTCATTTATTTTTGATACCTGCTGTCGTCCAGTTATAAGAAGCTCCAAGAAGCTTTTGCATGAATAACAGTTATACCCTGGTAAACTGTCTCAGCAGACAGGCTAAAACCACATTAAGGGTAACCGATAGTCCTCATCCCATCAGTGAATGAGAGAAATGATTATTAATAATCAATAATTTGGGGAGATTCAGATTTTTCCCCTTTTTTGTTTTTACCTGGAGATCTTCGTCACTGAAGGTTGAGCCAATCTTCTCTTCTATCCAACCCCATCCAATCTTACAAGAATCTCTAGTCTTAAGGTGAATTCCATTCAGTCAAGCTTGGGTTGAGAGGTCTAAATTGCCCAAGGCTGGGGGTGGTCCGGATATAGCGATAGTCTCTCTGTCCTAGGATGATGTGATGTCACTCTCATCCCCTCAGTGGAGTAAGCCTACCTCTCTTTGTGAAGTCTACCTCTCCTTAATTATTAGCCAGTCAGAGTTGATTGACATCCTTTTGAATGCTCTTCTTCCAAAAGAATATATAAGCCTTGAACTCACCATCTTGTTTGTATTTGGTCGGAGAGAGATGGCCAAATGACCATCCTTTTATTAAAATGCTGGCATTATTAGTAAAATGATTAAATTACCCAGAAATTATATCTCTCAAAACTTTTTAAATGCCACAGTTATGGCAACCATGAAAAGATCAGTGCCTTACATGCTAGATTCTTAACCAAAAACTCCCCTTGGCCCCATGTGGAGAGTTCTTCACATTGGGAATTCTTAGTTAGGACTCTGGCTGTGATCTGACTCTCCCTTTTTCCAGTAATTAATTATCTGGGTAAGTTTATATGTTCTGAGTCTATCTGTTTTTAATGCTGCAGTTCTCTAATTTTCGCTCTTACTGGCAGATTTGGGAAGGTCTATTGGCAAGATCCCATTAAGCCAGGCTAACTGGGGCACATTGAGGTGTGCACAAATTGTAGGAAGCCTGTACCAAAGAGGGCTTTGAGAGAAGCTCTATGGGGGGAGGGGGTAATCCAGCAGGGATGTAGCCTCCATGGGAGTCTAGAGTTCACTTTGGGGTCATGGCCTGGGTACCCCAATCTTATTTCTTAAATAGGCAGGACCTAGAAGCTTTTTGCAAGTACTGAGGACAGCTGCAAGGGTACCAACTCTTGTAAAAGCTACTAGCCCTGGGGCCAAACTAGAAACATAGCTTTTACATCTCAACTTTTATTTCTATATGTTTTCATCTCTGTTTTATCTTTGTTTCTAAGATATAGCCTGAATCAGGGAAGGAGTTTCTCTCTGAGCACTTCGTTAAGTAAAAAGCCTATTTTTTACCAAGGGATCCAGAGCTGTAGCCTACAAAGGCTGATGAGAGAAAGGCACCTTTGATTTTTTTAATGGGCAAGTGAAGTGAAATTCAAATTCATGTAGGTGAAATGAAATAGCCACAAAAGGGATTCTTTTTCTGGCATGAAGAAAAACTAAAGAAAAAGCCAGAGCCAGTGTGGGGCAAGTGAGTAATAACTTTAAATGCATTTGCCTCACTTAAAAAATATTTGGCCAGATAAGAGATGAGATTTTGGTTATTTTAGTCAGATGAGCATTTTAACCTTGATTTGCAGATTTAAAAAAGGCTGTGCTTGTTAGAGGGTCTTCAAATACATATTGCCTTCATTGTTTTAAGGGAAAAGATCCTTCCTTTCCTTTCACAGCCCTGGATTGTGATAAGGTTGGGGGGAGGAGTTGCATTAACATTCTTTAGAATTTGTTTTAAGGGACATTTAGAAAAACCTGTAAAGGAGATGAGGGGAGACCAACCAGCTGTGGAAGTTTGACTTCTCTGTAAGGAGTAAAAATGGGGGTGGGGGGAGCGGGAAGAGGCTCTCTCCTGTCCCTTTCTGACTGTGGCCAAAGTTGGAGAGGCAGACAAGAGGAGGACAGAGAAGAGAAATATTAGAAATGAGTAGAATAAGGTGTCATTTGGGATGTGGTTGGAAGTTTAGGGAAAATTTTTGTAACTTGATTTGAAAACCAATGCAGGAAACTGTATAAAGTTAGGAAAAAAATTATGAGAAAGGTGTTGCTATGTGATAATTAAAAAACTATTATATACTACCACTTTTTAAATCTTTTGCAGTATATTAGCTGGAAATAGTGACTCCATAATATAAAATGGTTGGAATAAATAGTCCTTGTATAACTGTTTTTATTTTCTCTTTAATTAGATGCAATTGCCTCATACTTGGTAACTTTATGTGGGTCTTTGGATGTTATCAGTATACAATGCCAATGGTGATGAGATGAATGATTTTCTGTGTAAGGTAATTTGAAAAAGAATTTGAAAAATTCATCTGGACTGAAGCTACCTGATTGGTAATGGGTTTTGTTTCAAAGTTTCAAATACATAATATTGCTTATGGCATTGTTATGTTTCTAATTTTTTTTATATTGTGCAATATGGTAAACTAGCATCAATTTCTCTTATAATCTAGATGTTGTTAGATTAAGAATTGCACTGTTAAAGAAAAAAAAAGAATGGTTAGGAAGCTGTTAGGTCATTTTTTTAGCTCTGCTGGCAACATGCTGTAATATTCCGAAGTACCATAACTAAGAACTTAAACTTCCAGTTTTTCCTATATTTAAGAGGAATTTTCACCTAAGACTATTTGGCTATCACTTATGAAATTATGAGATTGTTAACTAAGTTATTTGGAGTTATTGTTATAATGTTAAAATCTATAAAGTATTTACACAGGGACTGTAACTGATATTATTCTGAGTCTGACTCCAGGTATGACCATCAAGGAATGCTACTGAGCCAATGAATAGATGATGCCAGCAACTCTGTGGGGTTTACATCTATAAACTACTGGTAAAGTTGTCATGGAAAAGGCTGGGAGAATGACTCTTGCCATGGGC